CAGCCTCGCCAAAACCCGCAGCAGCAAAGAAGGCCACAACACCGAAGAAAGCAAAGAGTCCGGCTAAACCCAAGGCCAAGAAGTCTCCAGCCAAGAAAGCAGCTGGTAAGAAGCCAGCCAAGAAGTGAAGAGAGAATCTTTTGAAGAACTCCATCTCGCAATATTAGAAACTCGCTATTTAGCTGAACTGAGATTTAATTTTCTATTTCTCATTGTTGATTATTTGTTTTAGACTGTTTAGTCTCTAAACTATTATTTGTATAATGCTTCTTTGAATTAAAATAAAATGAAATGATCAATTTTTAGAGAAAAAGCTCGCAATCGAAAAAGGGAGTTAAAAGGAATAGATCGACCGAAGAAATAGAAAATGAACGGCGAATGCTTTGTTCTCGTATTTTTTTAATAGTGAAATCAACAAGTGGTAAAATTTCTTAACTGCATGTTAGTATTGTGTTGAAAGGTAGCAGGAAAATAACGTAAAATTTCACAACCTGCTACATGGTTTTGTTTTAACTTGTAATAAAATTATGAAATTTGGTAAACCACAAACATTTGTCTTTCCCACGAATCGAGGATTTTACGAAAAAAAGTTCACGAAAACAAGTATTGCGGCGCCATACTAACGCTACTGTAGACGAATGTTTTCTTCGAAATTCACTCGCAAATCAATACAAAGCCAAATGCTTTTGCCTGTTTTCGATCCGACCTGGAAGAAAATGAAATATTTGTGATCGGTGTCGTTTTTTACTCCATACAAATTTCGATTTTTTAATTTGCCATTGTTATTACGAGGCCAAACAGTTCCGACTGTCTTTTAAAGTCTATGGAGCAGCAAGATCATGAAAAGTTTGAATATAATAAAAATTTAAAAAAAAAAATTGAGAATTTGCGAAAACATCCCCCACACGCCATATTAAGCACAAAGTGATAGATTTTGCTCCTATTAACAAATCAATTATGACATATAAGCTTCCTTGAATCAATTTAGAACGGTTTCTAATACCGATTAGATCACCGCTTACGCGTTAATAGCGTGAAATATATTGCGCGTTAATTGTCTCAAAATGGCGATCTTTAAACCCCCATAACTTTACGAAAAATGACCACAGGTGAAATAGTTTTTCAAAATTAAGCCCAGGACTACAATAGCTTTCGATTGAAATAAAACAAATTCCGCCAAAACAGTCCGATTTTCGATAGGAAAGTAACGGAATATTTGTGCTCGGGGTGGGTTTTTTTCTTCAGACAAGTTTTGACTTTTTAACTAGCAATTTTGACGGATTATTTTATATCATTCAAAAGGCCTTGTTGTCCTCAGCTCAAATTTGAAAAGATATTTCACCTGTGATCATTTTTTGTAGAGTTACGGGGCTTCAAAGATTGCCATTTTGGACAATTTGGGACAATTAACGCGCGATATATTTCCCGCTATTAACGAGTAAGCGGAGATTTGATCCGTCTTAGAAATTGTTCTAAATTAATTGAAAGAAGCTTATTTGCCATAATTGATTTGTTACAAGGAGCGAAATCTATCCTTTTGTATTTTATATGGCGTGTGGGGATGATTTTCACAAAAAACCTCAAATTAAAAAACAATTCTTTATGTTTTATTACATTCAATTTTTAAATGTTATTACTGCTCCATAAACCTTAAAAGGCAGTCGGAACATTCAGCAGTTAACGAAAACAACTTTTGTGGCGCCACACTAACGCTACTGTATACGAATGTTTTCTTTGAAGTTCACTCGCAAATCATTACAAAGCCATATGCTTTTTACCTGTTATCAATCCGATCTCGAAGAAAATGACAAAATATTTGTGATTGGTATCGTTTTTTTTCTCCCTACAAATTTCGACTTTTCAAATAGCTATTGTCATCACCAGGCCGAACTGCGCACTGGATAGGCGCTCAATTTTTTGTCTGTATGTTCCTGGCTTTCAGAGACAAGTCTTTAAATATGTTCCAAAATGTAATTGGATTCCAGTGACAAAATTTCAGTGGATTCTGCGTACAAAAAAGTACACTATAAAATGACAATTTATACTTTTTGAGTGACTTATAAATTTTCATACATCACGCAAAAGGTAATGTAAGCAGATTGAAACCAGTTTGTAAGCCGATGTAGCAGATGTAAATCAGTTTCACCTTTGATCATTTTTTGCAAAGTTATGGGGTTTTAATGATTGCCAATTTGGGACAATTAACGCGCGATATATTTTCGTGCGATTAACTCGTAAGCGGAAAATTATTCCGTCTCATAAATCATGCGTATAAAATTAAATTTAAAAATGCCATTTGGTCCACTCATTTTTTGCTTTATGCGAAGTATATCATTTTGTTCTTTACATAGCTTGTGAGGCGATGATTTTAAGAAAAATCTCGAAACTTTTTGAAATTTTGCATAAACCATCATTTTTTTGTAAGATCACTACTCCGTAGACTTTAAAAAGCAATCTGAATATTCAGGGTTTCGACCTGATACAAGCAATCTTATTACCCTTGCGAATTTTTGTTTTTGTTTCGCATTTTAGAAACTTGTTCTTACCGAGATTCGGTTTTTATGTTGGTTGTACCTTTACAAATTCGATTTGCTAAATTTCTTTTATCCCTTGTTTTCAGCTTGATACGTTTTTGCCTACAATAAATCGGCTAAGTTGCGTCGCTCGACAAGCAAAAAAGAATTTTGTGTGCGTTTTTCAGATTCAACAATAGACATGACAAGAACTGGGCTCCCAATTTATCTTTAACTTGATTATTACGTTTTTTTGCTAATTTTATATCAGAAAATTTAGGGGGAATGAAAAAGTGAATTGCGGAGTGAATTTTCTGTGCTTCTTGCATAGAAACTGGATACCCTTGTTTCTAATTTTTTTTAGTAGTCTTTAACTTTCTTGTATTTTTTTCGTCTTTTTTCCGTAAACGAAAAAGGAAACATTTTTGGGTGGCTGTGTGATTTGAGGCGATTTATTATTTTTATAAGCCTTAATTTTTGAATTTTTTGGTTTTTTTCGGATTAAGAAATTTTGGCCTATAATATATTTGTCCCAGTTTTTCTACACTTGTTGCAGTCGCAGAACAGTAACCATAAGCATTGGTTTTAATCTGCAAATCAAATGTTGTAAAATTTCCACATTAAATGCACAATTCTTCTTTTTGATACTGGCTTTTTCAAGAATTCAAATTTTTGATTCATACGGTTCACCAGTCGACATAAGTCTTGACAGTAATTTTTCCTCTCGTTTTATCTCTTCAACTTTTCTTCTGATTGAAAACTTCCAAATTTGACCAAATTGACCTTTTTAGGATATTCAGATTCAATTCTAGCTGCCCATTTTAGATTTGTATCTTAACATCGCTCATATTTATTTAATCGGAAGGCGAATAGAGTTTGCTTGTGTGTGTTTTGAGAGGGAAGAGAGTTTAATACTTTTTTTATAAATCTTAAGTCCTGTGGTTGTTTGTGGTATTTTATTTTTGTCTTTGTTAACGGTTGGTAATTTTATCTTCAGATGATACGTTCACTTTTTTTGACTTGGCATGTTTTAGTTTCAAAACTAGCTGTATTCGTATTGATATTGCTAAATTTTCTGCCATTTTCCAAGTTATTTTCTTGGATTTTTTCCCGATTTAGTGGCTAATCTTGTTTTGCATTGCAAGTGCAAAGGGGCTCAGTTGTGCGCTTGTAATGAAAAATTTCAAGCTAAAAGTTAGTTTCAATTCAAATGTTTTCTGAGTTCGATTAGCTACGCGTTGGTCAAAATTGGAAGTTTCGTTTTCGTGAAATGACTTCTATCTCACTTTGACATCTTGCAAATTCTCATAGGTGTGTTAAAAATGTTAGCAGTTGAAATATATTTCCAATTGCTCTAAATACCAAAAAGATTTCCTAGCTTATTCCTTGAGAGTCGGAACAAAACGATTTTTTATATATTCATCATTCGGAACAGTAGATCAACTTTATGACAAAGTCAGTCAGTGATTTACTCTGGTATTGACTAACAGGCACCTTTTGCTAATTTTGAGACAACTTTTGAGTACGATTTACTTGTAATAAAGCAATAACCATTAAATTTATCAAGTCGGATATGAGGTAAATGTCATTTTTGAACATTTCCTATCTAATACACTGGTGAGGGCTGTACAACTAGTTGCGATGATAATTTCCATGCCCAGTCAGAAGTGTTTGGAACGATCGACTGCCCATGTTCAGGACAGATATGCAGTCTCACAACAAATGGATTCAACCTGGGCATATCTGTATTTTTATTTTATTTCCGTAACATTAAAATTGTTGTATCTTCCAGGTCTGAACATGTCTGATACAGTTCAGGGCAGATATGCAATCTCACAACAAATGGATTAACCCTGGGCATATCTGTATTTTTATTTTATTTCTGTACGGGGATAGTTCCAATTTGTTGGTTGATTTTTTTCTTTCATATCTAAAACCTTGAGGCAAAGGTTATGGGTACCTAGTGACCCGTATCTATTTTTTTCTAGGGTAGCCCTGGGTCCACTATGACTCGCATCACTATTTGTTTTTCCTATTTTTTTCGGGTCAGGAAAAAAATTTGGCCACTGCTGTTTTCATTTCTTAAAACACAGCCGTGTGCTTATCCCCTGATTCATTTTTTTTCCATTGGAAGGCTTACGTTTTCAATTCTCTTGTTTTTTTTTCGATGATAGTCACAATTTATCTTTTTGACTCGCTGCGTTAGCAAAAATTTTTAATAGGTGATTTTACTACCCATAAATGGCATAGCTGTTTCAATATCTTTTGGGGCTTTGTAAAATAACTGTGTTTTATAGGTCCTCGTAGCTAATATTCTTGGGTACACGATCCATTTTTCAAATTTTTGATTAAACTTCTGGCTATTGTGAAAATAAGGAATTAAATTGAACAAATCTGCTTTTTTCGTTTAAAATAATGTGATTTCTTTATTGCAGCGAGCGTTTTCGTTCCGGTTGAGCTCTGTGATATAAATACTGAGCTGAATTGTGTTCTATTATCATTCTGCTCTACTTGCTTAACTTGCTGAATTCTAAACAGAAATTTCCCAAATTTCAACTCTAATTCAATCATGCCTGCCGCTACTCCCAAGAAAGCCGCAACCCCCAAGAAGGCAGCAGCTGCCAAGACAGCATCGCACCCACACTTCGCCTCGATGATCAAGAAGGCAGTGAAAGAACTGAACGAGAAGGGGGGCTCGAGCAAAGCTGCCATCATGAAATACATCAACGCCAACTACAAAGTGGACGAGAAGGCCGCCAACCATGTCAAAACCGCCCTTCGAAGAATGATCTCCAAAAAAGAACTGGTCCACGCTTCAACAAAGAGCCACGGAGCCAGCGGAAGCTTCAAATTGCCATCGAAAGAGCCGGCAGCAAAGAAGCCAGCCAAGAAGACTAGCCCGAAAAAGAAGTCTCCAGTCAAAAAAGCCCTAGCCTCGCCAAAACCCGCAGCAGCAAAGAAGGCCACAACACCGAAGAAAGCAAAGAGTCCGGCTAAACCCAAGGCCAAGAAGTCTCCAGCCAAGAAAGCAGCTGGTAAGAAGCCAGCCAAGAAGTGAAGAGAGAATCTTTTGAAGAACTCCATCTCGCAATATTAGAAACTCGCTATTTAGCTGAACTGAGATTTAATTTTCTATTTCTCATTGTTGATTATTTGTTTTAGACTGATTAGTCTCTAAACTATTATTTGTATAATGCTTCTTTGAATTAAAATAAAATGAAATGATCAATTTTTAGAAAAAAAGCTCGCAATCGAAAAAGGGAGTTAAAAGGAATAGATCGACCGAAGAAATAGAAAATGAACGGCGAATGCTTTGTTCTCGTATTTTTTTAATAGTGAAATCAGCAAGTGGTAAAATTTCTTAACTGCATGTTAGTATTGTGTTGAAAGGTAGCAGGAAAATAACATAAAATTTCACAACCTGCTACATGGTTTTGTTTTAACTTGTAATAAAATTATGAAATTTGGTAAACCACAAACATTTGTCTTTCCCACGAATCGAGGATTTTACGAAAAAAAGTTCACGAAAACAAGTATTGCGGCGCCATACTAACGCTACTGTAGACGAATGTTTTCTTCGAAATTCACTCGCAAATCAATACAAAGCCAAATGCTTTTGCCTGTTTTCGATCCGACCTGGAAGAAAATGAAATATTTGGGATCGGTGTCGTTTTTTTCTCCATACAAATTTCGATTTTTTAATTTGCCATTGTTATTACGAGGCCAAACAGTTCCGACTGTCTTTTAAAGTCTATGGAGCAGCAAGATCATGAAAAGTTTGAATATAATAAAAATTTTAAAAAAAAAATTGAGAATTTTTGCGAAAACATCCCCCACACGCCATATTAAGCACAAAGTGATAGATTTTGCTCCTATTAACAAATCAATTATGACATATAAGCTTCCTTGAATCAATTTAGAACGGTTTCTAATACCGATTAGATCACCGCTTACGCGTTAATAGCGTGAAATATATTGCGCGTTAATTGTCTCAAACTGGCCAAAATGGCGATCTTTAAACCCCCATAACTTTACGAAAAATGACCACAGGTGAAATAGTTTTTCAAAATTAAGCCCAGGACTACAATAGCTTTCGATTGAAATAAAACAAATTCCGCCAAAACAGTCCGATTTTTGATAGGAAAGTAACGGAATATTTGTGCTCGGGGTGGGTTTTTTTCTTCAGACAAGTTTTGACTTTTTAACTAGCAATTTTGACGGATTATTTTATATCATTCAAAAGGCCTTGTTGTCCTCAGCTCAAATTTGAAAAGATATTTCACCTGTGATCATTTTTTGTAGAGTTACGGGGCTTTAAAGATTGCCATTTTGGACAATTTGGGACAATTAACGCGCGATATATTTCCCGCTATTAACGAGTAAGCGGAGATTTGATCCGTCTTAGAAATTGTTCTAAATTAATTGAAAGAAGCTTATTTGCCATAATTGATTTGTTACAAGGAGCGAAATCTATCCTTTTGTATTTTATATGGCGTGTGTGGGGATGATTTTCAGAAAAAAACCTCAAATTAAAAAACAATTCTTTATGTTTTATTACATTCAATTTTTAAATGTTATTAATGCTCCATAAACCTTAAAAGGCAGTCGGAACATTCAGCAGTTAACGAAAACAACTTTTGTGGCGCCACACTAACGCTACTGTATACGAATGTTTTCTTTGAAATTCACTCGCAAAACATTACAAAGCCATATGCTTTTTACCTGTTATCAATCCGATCTCGAAGAAAATGACAAAATGTTTGTGATTGGTGTCGTTTTTTTTCTCCCTACAAATTTCGACTTTTCAAATAGCTATTGTCATCACCAGGCCAAACTGCGCACTGGATAGGCGCTCAGTTTTGTGTCTGTATGTTCCTGGCTTTCAGAGACAAGTCTTTAAATATGTTCCAAAATGTAATTGGATTCCAGTGACAAAATTTCAATGGATTCTGCGTACAAAAAAGTACACTATAAAATGACAATTTATACTTTTTGAGTGACGTATAAATTTTCATATGTCACGCAAAAGGTAATGTAAGCAGATTGAAACCAGTTTGTAAGCCGATGTAGCAGATGTAAATCAGTTTCACCTTTGATCATTTTTTGCAAAGTTATCGCCAATTTGGGACAATTAACGCGCGATATATTTTCGTGCGATTAACTCGTAAGCGGAAAATTATTCCGTCTCATAAATCATGCGTATAAAATTAAATTTAAAAATGCCATTTGGTCCACTCATTTTTTGCTTTATGCGAAGTATATCATTTTGTTCTTTACATAGCTTGTGAGGCGATGATTTTAAGAAAAATCTCGAAATTTTTTGAAATTTTGCATAAACCATCATTTTTTTGTAAGATCACTACTCCGTAGACTTCAAAAAGCAATCTGAATATTCAGGGTTTCGACCTGATACAAGCAATCTTATTACCCTTGCAAATTTTTGTTTTTGTTTCGCATTTTAGAAACTTGTTCTTACCGAGATTCGGTTTTTATGTTGGTGGTACCTTTACAAATTCGATTTGCTAAATTTTTTTATCCCTTGTTTTCAGCTTGATACGTTTTTGCCTACAATAAATCGGCTAAGTTGCGTCGCTCGACAAGCAAAAAAGAATTTTGTGTGCGTTTTTCAGATTCAACAATAGACATGACAAGAACTGGGCTCCCAATTTAGTTTTAACTTGATTATTACGTTTTTTTGCTAATTTTATATCAGAAAATGAAAAAGTGAATTGCGGAGTGAATTTTCTGTGCTTCTTGCATAGAAACTGGATACCCTTGTTTCTAATTTTTTTTAGTAGTCTTTAACTTTCTTGTATTTTTTTCGTCTTTTTTCCGTAAACGAAAAAGGAAACATTTTTGGGTGGCTGTGTGATTTGAGGCGATTTATTATTTTTATAAGCCTTAATTTTTGAATTTTTTGGTTTTTTTCGGATTAAGAAATTTTGGCCTATAATATATTTGTCCCAGTTTTTCTACACTTGTTGCAGTCGCAGAACAGTAACCATAAGCATTGGTTTTAATCTGCAAATCAAATGTTGTAAAATTTCCACATTAAATGCACAATTCTTCTTTTTGATACTGGCTTTTTCAAGAATTCAAATTTTTGATTCATACGGTTCACCAGTCGACATAAGTCTTGACAGTAATTTTTCCTCTCGTTTTATCTCTTCAACTTTTCTTCTGATTGAAAACTTCCAAATTTGACCAAATTGACCTTTTTAGGATATTCAGATTCAATTCTAGCTGCCCATTTTAGATTTGTATCTTAACATCGCTCATATTTATTTAATCGGAAGGCGAATAGAGTTTGCTTGTGTGTGTTTTGAGAGGGAAGAGAGTTTAATACTTTTTTTATAAATCTTAAGTCCTGTGGTTGTTTGTGGTATTTTATTTTTGTCTTTGTTAACGGTTGGTAATTTTATCTTCAGATGATACGTTCACTTTTTTTTGGCTTGGCATGTTTTAGTTTCAAAACTAGCTGTATTCGTATTGATATTGCTAAATTTTTTGCCATTTTCCAAGTTATTTTCTTGGTTTTTTCCCCGATTTAGTGGCTAATCTTGTTTTGCATTGCAAGTGCAAAGGGGCTCAGTTGTGCGCTTGTAATGAAAAATTTCAAGCTAAAAGTTAGTTTCAATTCAAATGTTTTCTGAGTTCGATTAGCTACGCGTTGGTCAAAATTGGAAGTTTCGTTTTCGTAAATGACTTTATCTCACTTTGACATCTTGCAAAATCTCATAAGTTTATTAAAAATGTTAGCAGTTGAAATATGTTTCCAATTGGTCTAAATACAAGAAAGATTTCTTACCTTTTTCCTTGAGAGTCGGAGTAAAACGACCTTTTATATATTCATCATTAGGAACAAAAGATCACCTTATGACAAAATCAGTCGGTGATTTTTTAAAAGGTGTTTTTTACTACCTATAAATGACATAGCTGTTTCCATATCTTTTGGGGGTTTATTTTCAAAATGGCTCCGGTTTTATTGACTTCGTGTGATCCTCCCGCTGTCAAATTATGCCCTAGCGAAATTTCTTCTCTTAAAAAATCACATTCAGATTTTTTTTATGCGCTAGTTTTTCCTATTTTAGATTTTTCATCACTTCTAAAACAAGATTCTCATGGTTATTCGCATCGACCTGATACAATACTATTATAATTTCTAGGAACCAGTTGGGTTTTCACTAATAACCTTAAAATTACGCTGCTTTGCTGTTTCTGCAGCTAGTTTCAATTGACTATAGAAATATCTAAGGCCGTGAGCTGAAACCCACCTTCCTTCTTTGATGTCCAATTTGAACAACTTCATCTATTTTTTCACGCAATTTTGGCACTTAGTACTTTTTCTTGAACATTTCTTGATTTTTTAGTTTGCATCAAAAGCCAATTTCTTTGAGTTGCCTTTTTTCACAGTGATGTTATTGGGCGCAAACAAACAATCGTCTGAAAGTTTGTATAATGTTAAAAATACTTTCCTACTTATTTTTTTCCAATAAATCGCTCTAATTTATATCGTACTTGAACCGGTATCTTTTTTTTCTAGTTGAATAAAACAAATTAGTTGGTACTGAAATTTTGAACTTCAAATATGATAGAATGCCTCAAAGATATCACTTTTGATGCCCCAGAAAAAACTAAAACAAACCCGAAAAAAGTTCCTGGCCAGGTTCAATGGCCGGAACAACAAGTTTCTACAAACAAAAAAATAACTGAGCATCTGCTAGGTGTTACGCGGCGGATGGATAAGTTACACGTAAGATCGGTGATTAAAAAAGTAACTCGAAGAAAACATGTGAGTGAGTTTTAATTTAAACTTGTCTAGCAAGATGAAAATTGTTTTTTAGAAATCACGTGGATTGACTTCCATAAACCTTTTTAGGCACTAAGTGATAGGTTTTGCCCCTATTAACGAATAAACCATGACATATAAGCTTTCTTGAATCAGTTTAAAACGATTTCTAATACGGATTAAATCTTCGCTTACGCGTTAAAAGCGCGAAATATATTCGCGCGTTAATTGTCTCAAGTTGGCCAAAATGGCAATCTTTAAACCCCCATAATTTTACGAAAAATGATCACAGAAGAAATATCGTTTCAAATTTGAGCTCAAGACAACAATACCTTTTGAGTGATACAAAAAAAATCTGTCAAAAAAGGCTAGTTAAAAAATCGAAATTTGTCTGAAGAAAAAAACCCCACCACGAGCACGAATATTCCGTTATATT